CTTACTAAGTAGAGTAGGGTTTTGGGGTACATGATACTATAGTTACCATAAGGAACCTCCAAAAGAGTATGGGTAACTATTTAAGCCCCGAAAATTACTTCTAGCCAAGAGCCTGAGGCCCTAAACCCTCAACGGAACTGGGTGAAGATTTTGGACTGTGGTTCTCCGATTCAGGGCCTAGGGCGTTGGGTGTAGCGTAGGGGCCCTAGGAATCAGAATAGGAATTTGGTGGTTCCTTATTATGATGATGGTACAACGGCCCCAAACCCTGTTCTAATTGTTAAGGCCCCTACATTAGGCCTTAGGGTTTCGGGGTTTTGGTATTTCACTCTGTAGAGCATTGCTGTTCGGCCTTGGCGGTGTTCAAGAATTCCTCTGGATCCCATCTCTTCATGTAGGGGCCTTAAGAATTAACTATTTTGGGGGGTTCCTTATTATGAATATACTAAAGGGGCCCAAAACCCTATTCTAGTTATTAAGGCCCCTACATTACGGCATCTTGCACACATGGAGCCCCAAATGGTAGTCCCCAAAGTCTCCAGCGTAGCAGGCTGCGGCTATGACCCCTTATCCTAGCATCCTAAACTCCTAAACCCTAAACCTTGAGGGTGAAACCCTAAACTCCGAACCCTAAATCTCAAATAGTAGGTTATCTTAAAGGGCGCGTTGGCATTGAAGGCGCACAAGACTAATAGGGACCCGAAACCCTCTTTAGAGGTTTAGGGTTGTGACGAAGCGAACGACTCTGAGGGCCGAGTTGCGAAGAAAACATACGGTTGATGATAGAAATACTTCATTACCCAGAACAAGGAATATACCATCATTCCCATAGCTTGGGGTCCTTTAAGGTAATGCAATAATGAGGAACATGCCATAATTCCCATAGCTTGGGGTCCTGTAAGGTAATGCAGGATTTATATCATCAGCAGTATCACCAGGAGCCCTAAGAAGGTAGGCTTTGGGGGCTTAAGGTATGTTTCCACCAAAGGTGGATTTATATCATCAGCAGTAAGACAAGCCATAAACCCTAAGCCCTAAACTCCTAAACCCTAGACCCCTAAACCCCTAAACCCTAAACCCTGAAGTAGTGCAGGAGTTATATCATCAGCAGTAAGACAAGCAATTTTTTGTTGGAACCGCGGAGGTCTCCGCCGAGGCAAGGATATCCGCCTCCGGCAGGTGCCCGAACGGGAGGAACGTAACTTTGGGGGGCTGAATTCATTACTTGGCGTTCTTCTGGTTGGCGCTTAGGACTTTAACTTTTTGGATTTCTCTATGAACTATAATAAGTAGGCTAAAAGTTTAACTTTTAGGAGGGGTTCAGAAGTTAGCCAAGATTACCTATACTTATACTGTTTTGGGTCTTCCTTATTAGGGGTTTGTAGGGTCTAGGGTTCAGGAATTTTTGGGGCCTGAATAATTACCTGTAAAACTAGGGTTGTAGGGTTTGGGGATCTAGAAGGTTTAGCGTTTTAGGGTTTTGGTGTCTCCCCATAAGGATGATATAGGGGCCTGAATAATTACCTATAAAACCAGGGTTGCAGGGTTTGGGGATCTAGAAGGTTTAGTGTTTTAGGTGTGTGGTGTATCCCCATAAGCATGATATAGGGGCCTGAATAATTACCTATAGTATTTTGGGCTGTTCCTTATTATAAGTATAGTATTCTGGGCCCCAGAACCCTGTTCTACTGATTAAGGCCCTTATATGATGGTTTTGGTATTTTGGTATGGCCTGGTATGGATTGTGTGGAGGTTTCGGGGGTTTGGGGTTCAAAGTTCAACTTCTTCGGGTGGGGCTGAGTGAATTGAATTAGGGCGCAGGCTTTCAGGTTTGGGGCTTTTAGTGCAAGCCCCAAACCCTGTTACACCCTGCAGCCCTATACCCCTATGAACACTGCACCCTCTTCTGCTGTACCCCCTTGAGGTGTTGAGGGTTTGGTTACATGGTCAAGTCTTGAAGGTGTAGGGCTGAGAAGATGTTGCGGGTGCGGCCAAAGGTCAGACCCTTTTGGATTTGGTGTGTTCGCAGTAATATTTCCCTGTGCATATCGCCAGTCGATTTTGATATTTTTGCACTGAAAAAGCTAAAAAGTGTTGATTGGAATATTTACCTATTTAGCTGAATATGAATCATTTCCTTGAGTTTGCTTATATTTATGTTTATTTTATGTATATTCAATCAGTCCATACACGCCAAGTCACCCACACACGTGAGCTGCTATTTGAGGACCTCACGGCCACCCACCACCGGCTGGGCCAGGGCCTCACCACAGATCAGGGTCAGAGGAGGGTTTCATGTTATCCTTAACATGACCTGGCCACTACTGTAGGATCCTAATAATTACCAATACTATTTTGGGGGATCCTTACTATGATGAAAGGTAGAATGGGCCCCAAGACCCTATTCCAACTATTAAGGCCCCTACGTTACGCCGGATTAGACATCATTCGCTAGGCATTCCGTATTATGCTCAAGTGCCAACGTCTTCAAAGCAGCCGCAAATCCTAATTGTGTCATGAAAGCCACCGGTTCCGCCAGTTTGCTGAGTAGCAGGAGCTGTGGGTGGATTCGCATTGCCAGTGTTATCGCCGATGTCAATAGCAAGGAAAGCAGACGTAGCAGGAGTACTGTCAGTAGTTGTCGTGGTTGCGGTCGTGGTATGTCGTCGTCCTCGTCATTGGCGGTAGTAGAACCCTCACGTTCGTCGAATTCGTAGTCGCAGTCGCGGTCGTCACAGCAGCAATCTTAGCAGCAGGATGTAGCACGACCAGCAGTCTGTGGACAGAGGCATGGTGATGAAGATCAACATCACAGCTTGAAGTCACTAAAAAAGTGGCCTCAATAATCAGAATAGTCTTTGGGGGGGTATATTATTATTATTATACTATAATAAGGAGCCCCCAACACCCTGTTCTAACTATTAAGGATTATTAAGGCTTCTACATTGGTATAAGGTATCAGGCGATTTCGGCTTACCTTTTCACTCTTCCAGTCTTGTAGGTTGAGGGTGAATTTCGCTGGATTTCTTGCGGGAAAAGTGCCAGGTACGAGCATCCGCCTCCTCACAGACCACCCCCACAGCAGCTCCTGCCTGTTTCCGTGGTTGAGTTTAGGGTTTAGGGTTTAGGGTTTGGTTGGATTTTGTTCGGAGGCTTTTGTGCGTCTTCGTGGAAAATACGTGTGCAAAGCTTGTGCTTCTTAGGGTGTTGTTGTTGATGACTGTAGCGATGGTGATCATGTTCTGGAGTGATTGATGGTGGCTATGTTGTTGATGGTGACGGTGACGGTGATGGCGATGGCGATGGCGAAGGCGAAGGCGAAGGCGAAGGCGATGGCGATGGCGACGGCGATGGCGATGGCAATGGTGGCGGTGATGGTGATGGTGATGGTGGTGATGATGATGATGATGCTGATGACGACAATGACGATGACGATGGCCCGTGCTCGTTAGTCCGCGCTACTTCACCTTCAGTCTTCACTTTGAAAGACCTTCAATTGTCAAGCCGACCTTGATCCTCCGACTACCTGGTATGATACCCGTTTGAGACCATATACCCTTATTTCAGGTACAAGGAGGGTCCTGGTATGCACCCTAAGAAGGCAACTTACCCAGTGCTGCCAGGGGCTACGAGCATCCGCCGCCGCACCATCCGGGTCCCTATGGCCGCTAAGCTTCGAACATCTTGGGCCAAACCTTCCATGTATGTATGTATATACATGTATATATATATATATATATACACATTCGCACACACACACAAATACATAGACAGATATACATATGTATATATTAATACAAAGTAGTTATCTGCATATTAATAGAATATTGTATATACATATATGTATATGTACATGTATGTATGTATGTATGTATGTATGTATGTATGTATGTATGTATGTATGTAGCACGTACG